TACCATGGTCGATGGTATTGAAGGATGCTGAGAGATCAAGAAGCACTAGGATAGAGAAATGTCTTCTATCCCTGGCCCGCCAGAAATCATCGATCAGTGCGACCAAAACAGTTTTGGTACTGTAACCAGGCCTGAAACCCGACTGAAAGGGATCCAGATAATCTGTTTCATCCAAGGTCTGTCGGAGTTGAAAGGCCACCACCTTCTCGACAATCTTCCCCACGAAGGGAAGGTTGGAGACTGGGCGATAGTTGTTCAAAATGGCTGGATCCAACAGTATGTGCTATCAAGCTTAAAAAAAACAAAGAATATGTATGAAGTTTTCACACATTATTGTAGAGAAGCCATTTTGGTGAAAACAGTTAAGACAGAAGTCAAGAGTCCTATTTGAGAAATGAAGCCAATTGGGTGATGTTGGATCAGTAACTTTACAGTATGCGTATATTACCAAGTATACTAAGATTTTTGTTATCATGACCTATTTGTGAGGCAAAACAGAACATCGTAGTGCAACAATTTTTGAACCAAGCTACCACAAAAGAGGTAAGTTACAGAACATGTGCAAAACCTGGGAACCATGTGTCCAGAGCAATTGAAATTTGGGGAAGTTGTGGCAGCTTTGGTCCTACTGGCTGCTGCTATATTGCTGAATTACTGCTGCATTCACATGATCCTCATCTTCAAATGTTCAGTGACACTTTCCCAGCCAGTTTCACAATTAGTCATTCCTTTCATAGCCCAGCAGCAGCCACTTACTTGCCTGCTGGGAAGGGAATGAAAGGGGAGGGGAGGGGAAGGAGGGAGGGAGATTTTTGGTGTTCCCTGCCAGTTTCCACACAGAAAAAGCAATCACTCGCACTGCTTTCTGCCCTTTGATGCCCTTTTTGTGGTCATTCTTTGACCACAGAAATGGTCAATGAAATATATCTGAAATGAAATTAAATATATCTGAATAATGACTCAATGGGCTACTGGCTGTCTAATTCTTGTTTTGTTTTATATAAAATTTTTGCATTGTCCAACAATAAGAGTATATTTGCTTCAGTGTCTTCAAAAAGTTTTCACTGTTTCTGGAGTTCTGTTGAAATACTTTCACCTTTGGAAAATAGTCTTATGTAATATAATCTATCTTCCAATTTGGAATACATAAGAATACCTTTAAAACTGGTAAAATATAAAAAGGTATTCAATATTCAGTAGTTTTGATGATGAAGTTGATGGGGGAGAATCCCAGATCCTTACGATTTGCATTCTTTATTTGCAAAATATTGGTCAACCATGATTTTCCTTTTTTGTTTCACAATCCATGACTAACTTTTCTTTTTTTCATTTATTGGGCAGACCCTACCCATTTCAGTGTGTACTGACAGCTGCCCCCCTGGTTATTTCAAGAGAAAGCAGGAGGAGAAACCATTCTGCTGCTATGATTGCCTTCGATGTCCCAAAGAGAAAATGTCAAGCGAGAAGGGTAAGAGATCTTTTTTTTTTTTTTTGTCTGAATATTTTTATTTCATTTTCATTTTCATTTTATACAATCACTTATATACTGTGCATAA